ATTAAAAACATTTTATTTAGGCCTATCTATGGCCTTCAAAAAGTTGACAACTCTACATGTTTCAACATTACAACGTCATCCTCAGGTTTTTGTTTGTCTTGTTTCATTTTCATGTTTACTTATGTGAACTATTTTACAGAAAAGCTTTTAAAATGCTACATTTGTAAAACAAACAGCTATGTGACCCAAACATTTGCTTAGTAGCAAGCAGAAGCAGCAAACATCTTTAACCAATTCTTAGGATGCTACTGCACAGCAAACTAAAAATATTTTAAGGAGTGAAAAACATAACAGATATAACACCTAATGCCAATGATATAACACCTAATGAAACTAGGACTAGTAATAAGGCAACCAACATGGACTGATAACACCATACTGTCAAATTAAATGTGCAGTAGTAATAACTAATTTGGTAATATTAAAAATTAGACATCAAGATGTGTCCAAGATACACAAAAATATTTTACTTGATGAATTTGTAGAGTTATTGGGAAACAACGACAATTCAGAGGGAGTCATTAGGATGAAATTATACCCACCTGAAACAGGTGAGCCATTCCTACCATCTATTATGTAGCATACATAATCTGTAAACTACTTACTGTGGAGGTCTAATACATATTTTATTCATATATTTCAGTAGCACAATACAATATGAAAGCTCCACACACATTTTGGTACTACACACTATATTTATATTAGCATAAATATGTATGTTTTGAACTAAATACAACATATAATGCATGGCCATGTTCATATACATTCTAACCTACGTTTACTTCTCTATCTAGAGCCTCATGGCCATAGATATTCCTTTGAAAATGTGATGACATCATTGGCAAAGATACCAGTTTTGGGGAACATGACCAAAAGGTGCATCAGAAATTTCCTTAATGCATTCTTCATATCATGTACTAATCTACAATCAACATAAATGTCATAGACTCAAATAAAATATCACAATAAATCAAGTTTCAGAAGTTGGTTAAAACATATAAAAAAAAAAGTTGTCTTTTCTCACAAATCAGGTGTTAAACTTGATGATAATTTAATCAATGAAGATTCTTTCCTTCTATTTCTTGCTTATGTTTAGTTCACTTAGCAACAATTCTGAGGCTTAGATCCTGAATGTATCTAAAAACCACTAGTAATGGACAGTTATATTACTTTAGATAATTATTTACAATTAAATAACATAACCATCATTAAAAGTACTGACATTTTGTTTATTTAGTGTTCCTTTCATTAATAGTATTGATATACCAATTACTATATTGAATATAATTACCTTTATTTTATTTTAATTTGTATTTAGGGCTAAACTAAATCTCCTAAGCCTCAAGGGATATTATTGAATTTATGGCCAAAAACATCATTGACACTGAGGGTTCCCAACTATGAAACATGGAACAATACATTCAATCCTTTATAAGTAGATATGTAAGAACAGTAATTAACCTGATGGGCAGGTTAATTTTTATATTATTTTTAATTTAGTTCTGAAGTACAGAGCTTACTCTAATTGGTAGTTATTGTTATTATTTATAACTACAAACCACTACATGGTGTATTTCACATTCTGAAAAAAAACTGTTATATTTACCTGATGATGCTCAATCAATATTCAGGAAATCTTGTGTATTAAATTAATTTCCTTTAGCCTAACTTAACTATCTTATTCTTGTACAAAATGTCTCCTTTATATATTTCAAAATATTGTATATATGTAAACTGATGCCTTCTCACAATTACATACATATAACTTAAGAACAACATATGACCTGTTGGTCCAACTAGGCTATCCCATCAACTAAACTTTAAAATAAAACATTCAAGTATTTATTAAACCTTCCCTTAAATTAACTGCATCCACCACATCCAGAGGCCGACCAACCAGTTAGAAAAAATAAAGCTGTCTCAGATGAAGATGACTCCAATCCTTCCAAAATGTATATTTGTGTCTCCTAGTCTTACCATTCTCACCAAAAAGTATGAAAAAATCAACCCCTTTAACAATTTTAAACAGCTCAATCAGATCTCCTCTAACTCTTCTTTTTTTTCAAGAGAAAACTATTTCAGAGATCTTAACCTCTCTTCATACCACAACTTTTCTATCCAAGATATCATCCTAGTAAGTCTCCTCTGAATTTTTACCAGCAATTCAATGTTTTCCTTAAGGTAAGGCACCCAATATTGAATACAATACTCCAAATGTGGCCTAACCGATGACCTATACAATAAAATTATAACCTCTTTAGACTTGTATTCAATATTTCAGAAGATATGACTGAAAATTATATTTGACTTGCCACTAACATGATCTAAAAGTCCTATGCAAATGTAAAAATTAATAGTATTATTGAGTTTTTCCCCCAATGAAATATATATATATATGGATAGATAGATGCATGGATAAATAACTGTAATTTAAAAAATATTTCTTTACATAAACAACTTTTAACTTTCTGAAAAAATTATATGTACACTGTAATTTTAGTTTATGACCATCTGACAGAAGATTTTTTCTATGCAATCAAGCTTTCTAATTGAAAGCTTCATGACATTAATAAACTATACTAATAACTAAAATTAATATTTAAAAAACATTTAGTTTATTCATTTTCAGGGATTTCTAAGAAATATTTAAACAGCATATTCTTTAGTAACTTAATATTACAATGAAATATATGAGCACCTTTCATAATTACATAGCATTTTGTGTTTAATAGCTACTGAAAAGAAATCTGGTTACATTTTAATGCAATTGGCACACCAGTGACAATACCTTGACAATTTTTTTAATTGAATTATCTCTTAACTTGTGTTTTTTGACAATAAGCATGACTTTTCTAAATATTTCCTTACCAATATTTTTTTTCAATTTATATATTAAACAAACTGAAGTATGAAGATCAGATTAATGTCCAGAGGATATCATGCAGGCATTAGTGTCAAGGAGTAATACTTCTCTTTAATCTATCCTAATGTGTGCAAATTCACAAAAGAATTATACCTTAAAAATAACTGTTCAAACTGCAAGAAACCTACACGAGTATTTAATATTAGAAAGATTTTAAGAGTAGATGTCACAAACAAATGTTACATTAAGTAAACTAGGGAAAATTAAGGCTAGTCTGACTTAAACTTGGCCAATCCATTATTTCAGTGTGGCAATACTAACAGTTGATTTCTTTGCTGTGATTTAATTTCAAAATAAACTTAAGTATCTTCAATTGACTGTAATTTGTAAAGCTGATGTCCAAACTAATAAAAGTGTACATGCATAGAAAACAAAGCTTGCTAATTCAGTTCCAATGTTTTTAATGGAATTAGGGCTATAAGTATAAATGCATATACAACAATATATGAACAATTTAATTAAATATAACAAATGTTTTGACAAAAATCTCGAATTTTGTTTGCGAATAATGTTTATGACATTCCAAGATGATAATGACAGCACTCGAACTAACAGTTAATACTCTTCCCGCAATTCTGTTTCTCCTGAAATTTTTTGTTCCGATTTCAACATTGACTCGTGAATTTTCTCTTTCTGATCTTGAGAAAGTTGATGATGTCGTAAAACATGAATAAGTTGCTGTCTGTCATACTGTTGCAAAAACTTCAAGCAAGAGCGTATTGTGCCACTTAAATGAAGCGTTTTTAACGTCAGTGACATAATCCCAATTTTCCTGACAAACGATAGAGCTGATGCAACAAGCACGTGGGGTCCTCGTCGAACTCTTAATACAAACACCGATGTTTTAGAATTAAACATCTTGATCGTAAAACCAGCTTGTGTGGCACCAACCCCAAAATCTCCATGTATTTCTTCAACTGATTCACGAACAGACCGTAGTATGCTTCGTTCATTTACACTTGAATGTAATTCTCCGAGTAAAGGGCGTTGAGAAACACTTGGAATAATTTCTACCAAAAAATACCTCTGTTTGACGCGTACCATGTTTCGCACCTACGAAGCCGCCATGAGAGGCAACAGCAGCGACGTCTGTAAGATGATAAAGATTAAAATACTGAAATTATAATATAAAATGATCAAGTCATTTATACAAAATAATTGTAATATATATAACACAGATAAAATATTTTAATCAGTGAAAAGATTATTTTTTGTTCTTGTTTTGTGAGATAAACATAGCTCGCCTTGTTAGTATTATATTTTCATATGATTTGACATAAAAATTTCAAAGTCTCTAAACAAGACTTATAGTTGTCAAATAGTAGTTAATATTTTTATTCACACATGGTATAATCAGAGAATAAATCGAAAATTTATTACTTTACAATAAATTATGAGCAAAAATGGAATTTTATAAAAAAAAAAGGTGTATTTATACGTAAAGATAATTAAAAACGCACTGTACAACAAAAGACTACTTGGTCCTTCAAGGCTGTCCTTGTATACTCATCCTTGAAAAAAAGTAAAAATTTAAACCATCCCTTTATGACTTCCTTCTTAACCTTAAATAAAACTGAGTAAAATAATAATATTCAATTGACCTTAATTTTTTACATGCCTTGATTTCTAATTTTGACTTCTTCAATAATTATCATATCTTAAGCTCGTTACGATTATCGATCTTTTTTTTTTTGTTTCTTTGGTTAGAAACAAAACATAAATCGACAATGAACTATTCATATTGGGAAATAATGACTATAGAAAACAAAATAAAAACAACTAAAGTAAATACTTTACCTTATGGATCTACTACATCAAAATGTCCATGGTTGTTTAGTAAAATTATTGCGAGAAAAAGCACTGTAATGTAATCTTTGACTACAGGGAAATACTAAATTACTAATCTTTCTTCTTGTATAAACTCAGATTATTTATCAGAAATTGTCTGAAATTATCTGGAATCAAAATAATATTCCGTATTGCACGAACCCTTCAAATGTCAAATTATCTTAAACTTTTAAGTTTATTTATTATCACTCGAACTTAAAGTTTATTGAATTAATTTGTCGTTCAATGATTTTTTCGTTGTTTTTGTAGCTCTGATTTTGGCGTTGCAAGTCCGTAAACTTATTGCTGATCGATTAGAGAGCCAGTTAGATAAATAAAGATAATTAATAATTATTTTAATGATTTACTCTTTAGACACCTGTAATATCTTTAGTTTAATTCTTTAAAGACAATCATTTACAAAGTAAGAAACATTTACCACTGTATATTTTCATAAGATATGATTTTTAAAAGTTTGTTTTGAATTAAGCACAAAGCTACACAATGGGTTATCTGTGCTCTGCCCACCACGGGTATCGAAACTCTGTTTCTAGCTTTGTAAGTCCGCAGGGGAGCATTTCAAAAAGTATAACGATAGTCTGAAGGCCATCTTCTTTCATACAAATGCAAATTGAAGGAATAAATGAGATATTTTTTCCAGTTTATTTAAAACTTTCAAGTTTAAATACTACCTTCTCACTAAAAACTTTTTGGTTTTATCTATAGTTTTGATTATTGTTATTGTGATGATTTTGCTGTAGAAGTCATTCAAACAATCGATTACAATAACGTGATATCCGTTTTTTTACGCAACTAAATATTCAGCAGATAATATTCGTAACGGAGCTATTTTTAGTCTAGATATTCTGGAACTCAACTGCAAGGGTAAACGAATAATTTTTATTTGAAAAAGAAAGACGTATCAATGTGCATCAAGAAATTGTTATATAATTACGTAATGGTCAGGTTCAGTTTTTATATGGTTACACAATGACGTTACTTGTAATTTTTTAAATGTGGATATTTAATATGCACACGCCAGATATTGCTATGGTAAACTCGTACGAAACATGGTATTTAGATCGGTAGTCTGCGTAATATTATACAACATTACAATAATAATGGCTGGAGACGGCTTGAGTGGGTAATGAAGAAAAACTTTAATATAAGTTTAACATAACAGCAAATTACCCACTCAAGCCGTCTCCAGCCATTATTAGTCTCAAAGTGGGTTCCTCGTCATCGAACATTACAATAAGAGTTGTGATTATATGTTTCGTGTTTTTAGTTGTCTTTTACTCATTAAAGCGAATTTATATTTATGTAGGATTCGAAGAACTGAAAACATCACACATATACAGTTTAGCACGACAAAAAGCGTAGTCGTGTTTCTTCAATTTGGCCTTGTCTAAAGTTGCTGATCAGATAAGCTCTGGTATTGAACAAAAGATCGGCGGCAACGGTATACAACACACAAAGGATCAGAAAAGAGAGACTTGATAAAAATTATTATCAATCCTATTGTAATGTTATATCTCAAAAGCTACCGATCTACATATCATGCTTCCTAAGAAGGGCGTTATGTATAACAAGAACTGAAAGTAAAATGCTGTATTGTTTCTTTTTTAGCCGCTGCAGAGCGGCTCGTAGAATGGTTCCGAGTTTTGTTGTTGTTTGTTTTGTTTTTTAAATACAAACTTCTAGCACATAGCTCCGTCATCTCTTGACCGATTTGAGATTTAATTACAGTTTTGGACTCAGAAGATCAGACCCTTTCAATTAATGTGTTTAACCGTGCCGAAGGTCTCATAAATTAATTTAATCTAATCCTGTCTAACATAATTTCAACTTGAGGATAGGCTGGTAGAGATTCTAATGAGTAATAAAATCGAATCGGATATATCCGCGTCCAACGCTTGGTATTGCTGGCGCACAAAAATATAGCTAATAAAAACGGAAAAAAGGTCTCATAGATTAATTTACTCTAATCTTCCCTAAAAGAATTTCTAGTACTGCGGCTATTGGGGATTCTCTCTTGTTTCTTATATGATTTAATTCGTTTAAAAAAATGTATTCCATTAATATTATATTTCTGGGCAGTGTTATCCTAATGAATATAGGAAAATTTTTTATCACTTCCGGTAACAGTAATGTTCTAT